GCTGCCCCGTGACCCAAGGGCTGCCCCCCGTCCCCTTCCCTTCCTTTTCGGCGGGTGTAAAAAAATGGCAGTGTCTGCCTCCCATTCTCTCTGCTCGCTGCTAGCGCTGGTCCCTCCGCCTCCTCTTCTTTCTCCCCCCTCCCCTGTTACCCCCCTCCCCTGTTACATGCAAGCCAAAGCCTTGCGTTCTGAGTAGCCCTCCCGGCCCCTGGCGTTTCGGACCCCGCCTCACCCGTCGGCACTGGGCAGAATTGTTTCGAAATACTGCTGCTCGCACATCGTAAAAACAGAACATAAAATCACGGAATTGCAAAGAATGGGGGACCTTGGTTTGTTTAAATTTCTTGTGCCCAGATAAGACTGGATTTTTAGGGGTAATACAGTATTTGATCAAACATGCTCGAGTTGAGCATGCAAAAAAAGGAATCATCCGGAAATTTTATGATATTGTATTTAAATGTCAATTTAATATGCAGTGTTGGTTTTCAGGACTGCCGTGTCTAGAATGCACCTATTTATATCATTCTCAGAATAGGTTTAGAGTTCCTTGGGTGTCTCTAAATATGATTTTTTCATATATTTTACTAGTTAGCAATTTTTTTCTTTTTGGTTGTCATCTTAAAATGCTTGTGGCTTTCTGCCATACATCTTTTACCCTGAGAGTTGCCCAGCCTGAAATAGCAATTTTCTGGAGGAAGCGTGATATATTTACATGCCATTATTCAGTTTTGTATGTAATCTAGATTAGATAGAGCTTTTACATGAACTTCTCTTTTCCGTTATGTTCAGGAAATGTTTTTATATATATATATCTATTAGCTTACCTAGTCAGTTGAACTGTGGAGAAAGATCTTAAGAGTAATTTCTTTAAGGGATTGCAGGTATCAAACTCGGTTAAGTGAGGAAAAAAAGCAGTTGTTCATGCACACTGTCTCATGGATGTGGGTGCAGAAAGCCTATAAATGTGAGAAGATATGAGCAAAGAAGGTGATTTCATCATTTGTTGATGAAATTTGAATTGGACGTGTATTGAGAGCAAGTGTGGTATTTTCACTTATGAAAAAGCAAAACCAGAAGCCAAACCAAAACACCTTAGGTGCTGTAGTGTAGTCTTTGAAAATACTGTTCCTGCTATGTGGAGCTAGAGATGCAGAATAGAAACATCTGAGTAGGTAAATATGAAAAAGCATCAGGTTTTCAACTCTACTCAAAGCCTTTATGGGGCAGCACTGGCATAATGGAAATTTGTTAAGTCCTCAAATGTGCAACAAAAATTAGTGTGTGTGTCATTTTTTGGAATAAATCATAAAGGATGACAAGTGCCTTTTTTTTTTCAATCAAAGGACAGAAACTTCGGTGATTTTTTTTTTGATTGGTGGGGGAAAAGGTTGAATGACCCTGATGCTAGTGTGGTCAAGTCAAAGAAAGCAACTTTGCTGCTTCTCGAGGGGGGGGGGACACATGAAAGTGGCATCTGTTGTCTTTGAAAATAAAATCTATGAAATATTTTATATCTTGATAAAGGAATCTAGGACCCTGGCTGAAATAGCGAAGGCAGAACTTGATGGTACTATTTTGAAGAGCAGGCCACTTCGAATTCGATTTGCTACACATGGAGCTGCCTTAACTGTCAAGAATCTTTCACCTGTGGTTTCTAATGAGCTGCTGGAACAAGCATTCTCTCAATTCGGGCCAGTGGAAAGAGCGGTTGTTGTAGTAGATGATCGTGGCAGAGCTACAGGAAAAGGTTTCGTAGAGTTTGCAGCAAAACCTCCAGCACGAAAAGCTCTAGAAAGATGCAATGATGGGGCGTTCTTGCTAACAACGTAAGTTCCCCGGCTTTTGTTTGAATTTGTGTGAGTGTATCTTTCTGATGTGAACAAAAGCTGCATTCATGGGCATTTCCTAGTTCTTAAGAAGACTGAGATTCTGCCGAGGTTTATAACAATAATTTCTGGAAAACTTCTATTTCAAGGGCAAGCGAACTTACAAATTGCAGAACTTCTCTTACATCTCTTATTTCTGTAAGTGCTGAAGAGAGTTGTTCAGTGCTGTACTTCACCACATTCACAAGTGACGTTTTCAAATGCTTTCTGAAAGACTATTTGAAATGATGAATAGTCGTGGGGTTTTTTTAATTTTTATTTTTCTGATTCTCATTTGGAACAATAAGACTGTGCTTTCACAGTCTGGAAACTTGCTGCCATTGAATTGGGGAACTTGTAGTTCTTTTCTTGCCTTGGCTGTGCTGTTGATCTTTTTATCTGCTTGAGAACTTCATGATATTTCCATAAGCCTCTTGCGCTTGCTAAAACAACAGAAAAGCATTCAGTTTTTCTTGGGCTCGTTTTGGTCTGCTTAAGCACATGATGGTGCTTGCTCATGTCAGGTGCAGGAGAAAATGGTATCAGAAGGAGATTGCAGGTGGATAAGGGGTCTGGAACTCCTATTGTGATAATCTCATAAATCTCGTGTGCCACTGAACTGATTTGGTTGCTACATAGTAAATTCATTCTGAATAGGTCTTTACTGTTATCAGGAGGTGCCAGCAATTTGTTCTTATCCCCTGGGTTTTCTTGGCATTAGTATTTGAATGGAAGCGTGGTGAACCAAACAAGGGAACTAATCTATTCCAGTGTTACACGAGTAACATTGTATTTTTGGCATGAGAGATGTGGCAGGGGAAAGAAGCCAGGATATGAGGGGTAGTAGTCTTGTTTTACCAGCTGGATAGATTAGTTGAATTGATCATCTAACTGTGGCCTCAGTGAATAAAAAGCACTTGATCTTTGTCTTGCTTAGGTGGCTGCGTGTTCCCTAAAGCACAGTTGCAAAGATAATTAGCATGAATCTGGTGCCATGATAATTTTAAGTTTTGCTTCAGAGTCTAAATCACATTTATTAGCTGAAAACTCTTTGCCTGATGAGAAGAAAATCTTTAAATTCATGGGTTAAATGTATCAAAACTAGACGTTTGAAACAGTGACCTATAGATTTAAAATTGTTTTGAATCGTAACTTGTTAGTGCCACAGTTCAATTGCATTTAAAAAGCAGAACTGTCATCAATTGCCATGCAGATAGCATCAGAAGAAACAGTTGCTGAGTTGTGCACTGTGATTCCAGACTTCATCTTTTTAATCTAGACTTGATGTGCCACGTGGTGGGTGATGATCTGCAAAGTGAAATAAAGGTGTGGAACATAATAAACGAGTGCTGATGTTTTGTAAATAGTGTTTCTAGCGGTTTAAAGTATGTTTTGTAGGCTCTGCTCCCAAGACTGATGCAGAGAGCTTTTTACACAGTTCAGGATTCTTATACTGTTATCTCTGTCAGTACTGGCTAATACTTGCCTCTAGTTACTACATTTCAAGGACACGATTTTCAAAGATCAATTAGGATTCTGATTTGTGAGTGTGTGGTTGTTCAAGGAATGGGTTTTAAATAACTTAAGCAGAAATGTCTTTCTAGTTATCACTGGAATACTAATACCAAATTACCAAGGTGTTTTCAATTGTAGAGAAACTTTCAATACTAAGTTCTGAAAGTCTGTAGAAATATCAAATTAGGTTGTGTTGTTCTGTTTTGAATTTGAGACTTTCTCAGTGTAATCATGGCCCCTGTGTTGCCTCACTGATAGAAACAAAAAGGTAGTTCCTTCCTAAGTATGTTGTAATTGTTGGTAGATGGTTTTGATATTTTAAAAAATCTTTCCTTCATAGCAAACAGAACTATGTCAAGTAAGTTGTGGTTTCTGGGCTGAACAGCTGGTTTGGGGCATAGAAACAATTATTTTCAAAGGTAATTCTTAAAATCAGGATTCATTGAAATTCTATGATTTAAGGCAAGATACAGGAATTATAGAGTACATATTAGCTTTCTGGAATGTTTCCTCAAAATGCTACAGTAACTGTAACTGCTTGATCTATGTTTCAGTTATTAAATTGAAAATGTTTTCCAGAACACCTCGACCTGTTGTTGTAGAACCTATGGAGCAATTTGATGATGAAGATGGACTCCCAGAGAAGCTAATGCAAAAAACACAACAGTACCACAAGTAAGTTGTGATTAGCTTTATTTTATAAAACAGGATTTATGTACTTAGTTACCTTGATAAATATACACAGATTTTTATTTTTGGGTTTGAGTAACAGGAAGTACTGTGTTGTATGTCATGCTGTTTTGTGTCAAAGGATTAAACAGGGCCTTCCCAGAATTTTTTAATCATAGTAAAATTCTGACTTGGCTTGTTGGTTTTACATACTGCAGTCAGTGGGAGCTTGTTGCCAGACAAACTGTAGTCTTTTATGGATTAGGGGTGTGGTCTAATCCTGCAGAGATTTGTGTACCCACAGATTTTTATGTTCTCTGAACAGCCCCTTAAATGTTTGCAAACTCAGTGGATGGTACATCTTTGCAGCTTCCACAGTTCAGATAAAACTTTGAGCATGACATGAAAAAGTGAGTCTTGATCATGAGGTAGAGAAGTCACCTAATCTGAAAATACTTATTTTTAGTATTGTAATTTGCCATTAAAAATCATGTTGCTTGAAATGAAAGTGTTTATTCTGGTAAGGCTGTAGAATACCACTTCCTAAAAATTTGTGGCTGTTTGGTACAGTATTAGTGTTAGAACGGGAAATAAAATGTTGACACCTTTTAATGTGTACAGATTCTGGCTAATATTCTGAGCTGTCTGGTAAGCTTTGATAGTTATCTAAATAACTGGTTTTATGAATTGACTGCTTGCTTTGGAAGGCTGAACACAGTTAATCTGGCGTTGCACCTTAGTAATTTGTACAGATGTAAATACAAATTTTTATCTTAAATAAATTGGACACATCTTTATTGGACAATTTTTGGAAAACTGTCTCTGTTACTTTGTTATTTGACTTAACACCTGAATTAAGCTTTGTCTGATTTGGAATATAGTCATCTGACAGGTTGATGTAAAGTCAGATCTGCACTTGAAGTTATTGTTTATACATTCTCTGGCTGTTGCAGCTGTTGATCTAAATGTGTCCTTCTGTACATTTTAACTGCAAAATTTTTATTAGGGAAAGAGAACAACCTCCACGTTTTGCTCAACCTGGAACATTTGAGTTTGAGTATGCTTCACGGTGGAAGGCTCTTGATGAGATGGAAAAGCAACAGCGTGAACAGGTCGACAGGAACATTAGAGAAGCCAAAGAGAAACTAGAGGCAGAAATGGAAGCAGCTAGGCATGAGCATCAGTTAATGCTGATGAGGCAAGGTAATATTGGATAATCTGCTAGTATTAAATTTGTTTTGTCACAGATATTTTTTTTTGTGTAGCATATTGTGCTGTATGTTATACTTGGAGATTTTGCCAGCCACTATTTAATAAAATGCATTTAACTGAGAAAAAGGAGGTAATATTTCTCCTTACACATATTCCTCAATGATTTGCAGAAATGAATTAAGAAACTGAGAAAGGGGCGATTGTCTAGGTCTGTTTTCTTCACTTAAATTTGTCTACTTACATAGTTTGTGTAAAGTAATTGAATAGTAGCTTCACACTCATTAGTAAATGTTATTTTCCACTTTTGATGTTCCTTATGGTACTAGATAGGACTGAGTACTATTTGCTGGCCATGTGCAGGAAAAAATAAAATGATAGCTTGTACTTGTAGCTGTCTTGTACACCTCTAGTATGATATTAAATGTTCCAGTAGCTAATGTTACTTCTTTTTCCTTTGAAAGCCAGCTGAGAAGTCTGATATGTGCCTAGTATTATATATATGTAACAACTCAAAATAGCACACAGTTACCATGAATTTCTGTTATTGTTCAAATTTTAAGATTATGTATACCTTTTTTGTAATTATTTGAACATCTTGTCTTTTCCTAGTTGGGGGCAAAAAGTCTTTTAGCAATTGCTTTCAAGCCTTATCTTTACGAATGGAGCAGGGTGAAGCTTGTGTTTCTTGGGCAGAGAGAACAGTAGCAGGGCAAGTACTAAAGGTTTTTGTTTTTTAAATCTAAAGGGAGATCATGGCTACCTAAAAAAAATCTTATGCCTAAGAGTGTTAGATCATAAGACAGTACAACAAGTAGCTTGATAGAGTGAAAAAGAATACCTTGTCATTTTAAAGTGATGTGAACTTGATGAGATTCTAAGTAGTTAATGCATTTCGAAACCTAAACCCGATTAACTGGCAGAAGTTGTCTGCTGCAGTTACTTGGCTTTACTTAAAGCTTACACTTATAAAGGGACATTTTTGTCAATAGTATGACCTCCCTGTGTGGGACTGGTTTCTTTTAATTTTTTTCCTGCTTACTTGAAGGCAACGTTGAAAGTATATGAGGTAGATTAGTCACTAGACTAGTGGAATTAGAGAACCTAAATGCCTGAATATACTGCATGTAAATGCAGAGTCTTCTAAAATAAGCTTTAAAACATTTTCATAACTGAGAAGGAGTTTTAAAGGAACGTACTTAATTTTTTATATAGTATTCTTAAAACTACTGCAACTGAAAGTTGTCATTAGGAAAAAGTTTATTTAGCCTTTTTTTCCTGACTAGGCACAAATGCTTTCAGTGTGAAGCTATGCTGTTTTTATAAGGTCTTATACAGAGCATAATTACTAAAAATATAATTTATATATATAATAACATATAAAGCATGAGATCTAATACAGAGCGTAGTAACATCGTAAACTATTTTGCAGCACCTGAAATGACAACTGTCATGTTGTTTCTTGGTTTATTTTCCAAGAAAAAATATTACAGTGTCTAGTTTGTGTGTAAGCATAGGTGTATCTTACAGGTGAGGAATGTGCATGTTAATAGGATGTAACAACAATGCCTATAATACACCCTACAGCCCTCCCTTTTCAGTTAGACATATATTTTTAATTCTGTGTGTATGTGTGATAGATATTTCCTAAGATAGTTCAGTGCTGAAGATACAGGTTGGAAAAATTTACCATTAACTTACCTAGTTGCTAATATTTAACAGTGTTAATGGTCCAGTTCTAGAACTTATGCTCTTTAATTTTCTCAGAATTCATTCACCCATTGCCTGTATTTGAGGGCAAGATTAGGGATTACTTTTTCTTAAATTATCATACCTTAATTATGTTGAGTGAGACAATATGACAGTAGCCTATTTATTAAGATAGAAAAGCTCCTGATGGTAAAACATGGGAAAACAGCTTAGATGTGTTTTGTAGATACTGGGGTTTCTTTTAAGTACAGTGTGAAAGAAAAGATATTCCTCTTTTGGAATATCTATTAAGCCCTGCTTTTATATGGAAAGGAAATAAATTACTGCTTCCATTAAAGAGCCACTAGAACATAAATGCATTTGATGCTAATATTCCAGTGAGGAAATGTGCTTTCTGTTAGTGTGGGAGGAGGATTTTTTTTTCCCCTCACAGTTCAGTTAGCGAAGTCCTTTCTTGGTACCAGATAACTTGGAATTTTGTTCAGCTAATTAGATTTCTGCTGATTCACCTGCAGATGTTTTCCAAGATCTAGGGGTTAGTAAGTATTCCTTCTGTTTTAAACTCAATTCTTCAGCTTCAGTATGTATGAAAATAAGGTTGTTTTTTCAGTTGTGGGTTTGTTGTTTTTTTTTTTTTTTTTAGAGATTAGCTGCCTCTAAATGTTATTGGTCTAAGCAGTGTCTGTAGGTCTAAGTTTATGCCATGCTGAGAATATTAATTATATTAATGAGATTGCATCACAGGGTTTTTAAGAAAGATGCAGTGAAACTTCTAAGGCATCAGAACCTAGAATTAATATTTTTGTATACCTGATTCACCAAGTCAGATTTAAAGATGTATTAGTTATTATAAAATATGAAATGCAATATTTTAATTATGTAGGAGCTAAAAAAAAAAGATGAAAGGATGAGCTTACTGGTCCATATACTTCTGCAGATGAAGGTTTTATAGAAACTGCTTTATGAGAGTTAGTAGGACTTGACCTCTAGAATGTATTGGTTTAAATACTCAGATTTTTGTGGTGTGGTATTAATACTGAGGGTAGATTTCATTCTTTTGATATATGTAATTTTTCACTTTTAAGTGTCATGTTTTGACAGACTGAGTCAGAGGTAATTTGTAAAGCAGAATACGTGTTTCCATGTGTAAGTAAATTACATGATATTTCTGGTCTACATACTGTGGTATGTGTCAAACTTTTATAAATATTCTCTCATAATGACGGTTAAATAGATTATAAAATATTGGGAAGCGTGACTGAATTTAAGCAGAAGTTTAATTTTTATATCAATTAGTGGAAGCTTGGCATTTATTTTCCATTTTTAGAACCTGAAAAATCAGCAGCTAAAACTGCTTAGAAGTCTTTGTGGAGTTGGTATTCCAACTTGTAGGATTATCTTCTGAGGTGAGAGTAGACTTTTAACTTCTTCCATCTGCTATGTGGAAGGATGAGGATAAAATGAAGATGTCCTTTTAGAAGCACAGGAAAGTGCAGAGGCTTTTTGTTTTTTTTTCCACAATTGTCTTACTGCAGATTTTTTCAGTTCAGAGAAAGATCCTGTGTCCAACATATGTCAGTAAAGAATTACCATAATTGCAGAACTTTTAATACGAATGGCTCTTGTGCACAGCCCAAACCTGTATATCAGTATTTTCCCTTGGCTCGTAAGGCTTTGTGCCAAGATTCTGCTGTTGTCAAATGCTACTGAATCATGAATTGCTATGTTGAACTTTAAAATACTAACAATTTCAGCAAAGGCAATAATCACAGCTATGCAATGGAAAAAAATTAAGAGAACCGTGGTAAAAGTAGTGTGCTACACCTTAAGAGCAAAGGGCAGTAAATGATAAATTTGTAGCAATTACTGATGGAGAGGAAGTAGGAAATCCTGTGCCAGTGTGCACGAGAAATAGGGAATGCTACATAAAATTGAAAGAACAAAGAACTGAAAAGGGAAAATCTTTTCCCGCAGTGGACAGTGTTGAGTATAGAGTGGGTCAGTTCTTAATCTCTAATACCCTGAAGCAACCTAAAGGTTCATTTTAAAAGAAGAGTACACTTGCACTCTGAAGTATTCTGAAGGTTATTTAAAAGGCAAAATAGTGTGCTTGTGATGTTCCTGAAGTATCAGGATAACAGTGGCCAGGTCTTTTATGGCAAGCACTGTTGGAAAGAAGCAGCCCTCAGACTTTGTGATTTGAGTGAATCTTCGATGTAGTCATATTCTGTTCAAGTGTGAAATGTGTTAATTTTGCAGAAGAGATTGGAAAAGCAATCCTGCAAAATGTGCTTGAGAAAAGACTTCTTATGTCAATAAGGATGTTGTGAGAGTAAAAATCTGATAATCTTTGTTAGAAATGGAAACAAATACGTGATATTTGGGCAAAATATACTGGTCATTGCAGTTTTGGGATATCAAAGTAAAATTTCAAGTTATAATAATTTATGTTGATGCAATTTTGAGGAAAGTGATTTGCACAGCTAAAAAGATTATTTAATTAGTATAATGAAGAAACACATAGAGAAATGTGCAGAATAGTTGAACTAAAGCATAAAAGGCATATAATAGTTTGCATGGGTGGAATGTTCCTGGTTGGGTGTCTATAAATATTGTCTTGTGGCCAATGTACTCTGAAGATAGAAAAGACAAAGAACTGCTTCCTAACAAAACGTAGAATTAGTATTCTTTGAAGAAGGGATAAATTTCCAGGCAAGAATCAATCATATGACTGGTCAGCAAAAGTAATAACTATGAGTTGTGCCCTGCTATTTAAGAGCATTTTAAGTGCTTCTAAAGAGGCTATGGCTCTTCCTTTCTGGTGGGGGTTAAAATACTAGTAATTTCTAAGTTGCTATAGAATCATGTGATAAATCTCCATGGAGGTTTGAATTTCATGCACAGAAATTCATAAAACAATTTTTTTTTCTGATGCGTGCCATTATAGTGGTCTGCAATAGATAGTGGAGAGTATAAGTAAGTCCATATATATTGTACTAGTAGTGTACTAGGTGTGGTGTACTTCATACTTGGTAGTGTGACTTTAGCAGTATACAGCATTGTGAGAACATTGATGCCCTGCCCCAGATGTAAAACTAGGATGTGATTTAAGGGATTGTGAGGTTTTTCTCCTTTTCTTTGAGGACTTCAGATTTCTGTTGTCATAACGTGCTGTGGAGGCTTTGCCCGTCCTGTACCTTTCTGCCTTTGTGAGCCATAGATCCAGTGTATTTTTGTATAGCTTTATGGGAAGAAATGAGTTAAATGCATTGATGAATTTGTTTAAAATTTGAATGTTATAACTGTAATCCTACAATAATTACAATTTTTATGTTGCCACACTATTAATTGACAGCTTTTATATTTAAATAAACTTTTAATCCCGGTAGATCTCATGCGTCGTCAAGAAGAATTGAGGCGTTTGGAAGAACTTCGAAATCAAGAACTTCAAAAACGCAAACAGATACAATTGAGGTATTTTGTCTTCTACTGTGCAAAGGTGTGGCATGCAGCTGCTGTAGGCCTGCGTGAATTTAGATACTTCAGCTTGTCGAGCTTGCTATTGATACCAAATAGAAATGTTTCTGCTGCTAAAAATTTGCTTTTCAGAAGCATAATATGTGCTGTTTCTGATAATGTTAATATAATGCTAATGTAAAAGAATGGTTTCAAGTTTTCCTGGAATTTTTTCATTTGTATCAGCTCTACTAGTTCTGTTGTAAATTTCTGAGATTTCTAAATAGTGTAGAAATGTTTTAACATAGTTTTTTTGTTTCATGTTTATTTTAACCTTGTCACTGCAGCATAGCTGTGATAGGTGTGAACGTGCTTCTAAGGTTTATGGGCAGGGGATCTGCATATAGAGCTGTATCATTGCAATTTTATAGTCTGACATGGGATTTTGGAGGGTAGTTTCACTTTATGTTCTGGTATATTGCAAATATTTGTTTTCATGTCTCTGCTAAAATTCAAGGAAATAGACATAGAATCATCATGCTGATTAAGTTTATACTTTTTGTGTTAAATATCACAATAAATGTTAAGAAAAAAGAAAAACACAAACTCATCTAAGAGTTAAAAATGTATCTGTTGGCAGTATTGAAATGTTTTAATCCATAGTGACTTGTTAAAAAGTTTTAACCTGCTTACCAGTATGTACCTGAAAGACTACATAGTATGTACTGGTATTGCAATTACCTGGATTCCAGTTTAAAAAAATTTAAAAATACTTCAATAATATTCCAACTCATCAAGTGGAGTAGATTAGTGCCTTACACTGTATAAAAAAATAAGTAATGACCAGTTTTGTGTATATGCTTGATCTTATGTCCTGAGACTGAGTACCAGGCTGAACAGGTCAAGATACTAAGTTGACATAATTTTTGAAAAACATTCTAGACATGAAGAAGAACATAGACGTCGCGAAGAAGAGATGCTACGTCAGAGGGAACAGGAAGAATTACGACGTCAGCAGGAGGGAGGATTTAAGCCAAATTTCATGGACAATGTAAGTCAAAATCTATTATGAAAGTCCAAATTGCAAAATAATTTTTTTATTGTATTATTTGTTGTATTAGCTATTGAATTGCCATCTTTATGTTTACTGTTTTTAATTTAGAATTCCATCATTCTCCTGAGAGAAGTGGTACATATTCAGTAGTGTAGTTATTCTCTTGTATGATGACATCACTCTTATTTTTCTTACAAGCTGATGATGTAACACTTCAGTTACATTAAGATGTTTAGATAATTTGTCTTTATTTGGGAAAGGGGATGGGAATCAATGATGTTTCCATGAGGAGGTGCCTTAGTCTACCCTGAAGGTTTAAATTTTAAACCAGTTCATGGTGTTAAGCTTGTTTGAATTGCTTGTTTTGGTTTATGCTTACTTTAAGAATAATATACTCCAGAAACAAAATGGGCAGTGTTAATTTCATATGGAGCCTGAAATCACTCTTCCTTTTGACCCTACTGTAAAACTAGATAAAGAAAACATAAAAATCTTTACTAAAGGAGATTGAAAGATTATAAAGGTGGGGAAAAATTGTCCTCTCCTATAATTTCTACATTCTTTATATTAGTAATTTAGATATGCTCTACCTCTGCAGGACTAGCAAAATGGTGGTATCAGAGGAGTCAGCTTCTAAATTTTCACGATGATCTGTTTTGGTAAAGGAATACGACTCTTTCTACCAACTAAATCAGTTAAATGAATGCAACCTGTGTTGCGAATGCTTTAGTTTCATATGAGTAGGATAGTTTCATATGAGTAGGATATCTTTTACTGTTACAACTATTCTTAGTGAGGAAGCAATGAATAAGCGATTCACACAAAGCTCTTTTATGTCATTATAACAACTGTAGTCTGCAGGAGGGAAATTTGCTCCCCTTCACAGATACAACTTGATACATGAATCAAAAATGAACTGCTGATTTCTCAGCTCTTTCTGTTTTTGTGGAAGAAATACCTATTTTACATTCTATACCATAAAATTTTCTGTGTGGTTGCAAAGAATTTATTACATATGTTCTGAGACGTCCTAAGAGATGCTAGAAAATAAATGATTTCCTGCTCTTGGCAGGACATTTTTCCCATCCTCTGCCACTTAGTGTTTTTAGTAAAGATTGGGAGAAAGCAAAATAGTTCTTTTGATTTTACTAACAGTTATCAGTTGATTTTTCATTCAGTGTTTTGAGGGACTTGGATCAGAAAGCAGTTAGTCATTCATTTCTGTAAGTGGTCACACTGTAAAAGAAATTTGCTTTCAGCATGTCTTTTTTCCGGGTCGATGAAGACCAGGAGTTCAAAACTCATACTGTCCTTTAGTATGTTCGAAATATTATTAAACAGACTTCAGTAAATAGCATATAACAGTTGCCTGATGTAATTTAGAAATAGTACTTACTGATTGTGACTTCTGTACTACCAAATGTGAAATTTCATTTCACCTTAATATCTTAATGTAGCATCTTTTAGGGTCACCTGACTTCATGACCCTGTAAGCTACCTGTCAAAATCCTCCTGTGCCTGTTGTGTGAGGCCCGTGCTTCTTGCTGCAGAGAACTGCACTAGCAGGAAGCTGGGGAGCCAACCCACAGGCTTGGGATAGCAGTAGGTCCCGCAGATTCCATTGCTGTTAGGAGGTTGTGGCCTATATTCTGTAGCTTGGAGTGCTGGGGAAAACCAGATAACGTTGGCCACCACAGCCGTTATTGCTTTTCTTCTTATATGTCTTGAGAAAATGTTATTTAGTCTCTGTGCTTGAATTGCTTGCCGCAGTTTGGCCATCCTCATTGCTTATCTACGTTTTTAAATTCCAAACTCTGTGTAAATAGAAACTATTCCAAGTTGCTGTGCTGGACTTGGCAAAAATGTCGGTTAAGAAGGGAAGAGGAGTGGTTCGAATGGAAAGCACTTCAATCACTATGCACAATTTTTGTGACTTTTATATGTTGAATTTTTTTGGAGGGGAAAGGGAAAGGTGGAAGAATGGTTTGGAAGAATGTAGCTTCCCCACTGTGTTGGGTTCACCTGGAACTAATTATGCACTGCTAGAATATATATTTGTAGCTGTGCAGTAACAGCCCTACTGAAAGTGCAGAAAGTTATATGTAAAGGAATATGTAGTACAGGTGTTGTTTTTAAATGTCATATGAAGCGGCATATACAATAATATATGACAAAAATTTTTTATCTAGACTAGTCTTTAGTATTCTGGTCATGTTTTGACGTGTGTTTTACTTCTGATGTTCTTTGAAACTTTAAAAAAGGAAGAATGAAACAAAATTGAAAGTGATGTGTTTACTTACTTTCTTTAGCAGCAGTTTCTAATCAGGGCAGCTCTGTGACTAAGCTCGCCTGTCATTTTATAGGTGTTTGTTACAACATTTTTTTAGATAACTGTACTTAGGTAGTGTGAATGGGAATTGAAAAAGCCTTTGCATTTTGCAGCAGACAAAAATTGTAAACTATGTCTGTAGATTGCAAAATGATACATCAAATCTGTTTTCAACTTAGAATTTCTTATACAACGGATTTGTTTTTATTTGTTCTTACTAATACTTGTTCACTGGGAACAGATTCTATCTGGTACTTACTTTTAGTCTCAGATTACCATTGTACGTATACTGAAAAAGTTATTCTCTATTTTAAGAGTTTAAAAGTTGACTGTGGTAAGAATTGCATTTTTTTATACTGGTGCATAGTTTTTTATCATATCAGGTCTTGATAAACTCTTTGGCATAATCCTTATAACATATTAAAGTCTCTTGCCAACCATTTAGAAGGACAATAATAATTGTTTCTAATCCTTGTTTTTGTTTCTTAAAAGCTTTGAAAAGTAAGCTTTCTTCACTTATATCCTATCCCTTTTTACTGTTCAGTCTAAAAGAGGAAGATAAATGGTAAGTGCGACAACCAGAATTGGAATCTCTCATATAGGGCTGCAGTGTTACGCTTTCCTGTTGAAAGTTTCTATCTCTATCTTTTCCCGAAGTCATTAAACTTTGATTCTTTTAAGTATAACTACTTTTGAAAAGCATCTTTTAATCAAGTTTAATGCAGTGTTCAGTTACTTTGTTTAGTTACAGATGATAAAAATATTTTCTGTGGGGGGATTTCTTTTCCTGAAGCATTCTTGTTTCTGGTGATGTACATTAGAAATTTGATTGCATTGATTGTTAGTCTAATGGGCAGCCTAGTGATACCTAAAGAATTTACTAATCTGGTTCTGTGATCTCTACTAGATAAGTTTTTGATAAACACTTCCATATTGCTTAGAGATTGTCCCTTGCTTTCTAAAAATCGGTTAGTTAAATTCTGTTGTTATAACTCAATATATATGTGTTCTAATTTCACAGTACCTTAATTGGGAAACTTGTTTTCTTGTAGTATTTTGGTAATTTTTATTTTGTGTACATTCCTCTGTCTGAAAGAGGATCTTGCTGATGGTGATTGAAAGCAATATTATATTTTTCAACAACACAAGTACTTTTTAAAAAAAAGTGCTTCTGAGTGCTGGTAATACATTAATTGTTCAAACATGCAGTGGTTACTATCCAGTTGTGAATCACTTGCTTAGATTTACACTGTTAAATCTCAGTCGGATCCTTTTTACCAAATAATTCCAGTTCCAGGAAATACTTTTATTCCTGTCACCAACTTAGAGTGATTTGGATTTAGTATATTAAAATAGTTTTCATGTACCTACGATAGAGACCAAAATATGTAGGAGTTGTAGTCTTAGTTTTGTGGTATACAGATTTAATTCTGTAGTAACAGTGTGAAATAGGTGGTTATTGTAGTTGATGAAACAATAGTTGCAATAAAAATTTACAGCTCTTCTTACTGATGGTTTAAAGAGGGAGTTGAGATTTTTGGAAGTCCTTGCCCTCTTCCCTCCATGGAAACTCCTCTTTTTCGAAGTGTAACTTGCATATGTAAGGAACTGTTTCCTGTGAAATGAGTTTAAACTTCTGAATGCTTTGTGTTCTTTCATGTAAGACTTCATATATTAAATACTTTTCTTTTTAATCTCGTAGTCTTTTCAGGAATTATTTGTAGATGTTTTGCTTTCCTTCAGTTTTTCTTGCAGGAGCATTGCTGCTCAAGTATGTTGTGTAAGTATCGGCATAAAGTGGCAACCACGAAAGCAGTGGAGATTGCTTCAACAGTGGAGATTGTAGTGGACTTGTATCAAAAGCTGTAAGACAGATGAGAGCAAGGGAGTAAAAAAGTATATTGCGAAACAAGAGTGAAGTTCATAGCTTCATATTCCCAACATATTTAGTTTTTCTTCTAAGAGTTTTTTCCTTCTTTGGAGCATTTATAAATGTAGCTTTCCATTTCTTACTGTTTGGAGCCTACTGAGGCGTCTTATCCCTCACCTCTACTTTAACTTGCAAGTTAAGCATTAGACATGTTTGAAACAAGACTATCAGATTTCCTTGGACTTCTGTAATTCAGAAGTAGTTTTTTGCATTTTGTATTTCTCAACTGAATGGAACTGTGTTTTTATCCCATCTTCTGATAAGTGTTATGCTCAGAAGCTCTAGTGGTGTAAGCAGTTTGAATTTTCACGGAATCATTTCCTACCTTACTCTCAACTAAGGCAGATGCCCAGTGAAATTAATAAAAAATTTCCAAGGATCTTTTCAAATTTGATCTGTTTTGTAATAATGTTGGTTATTTTATCTTGACAGCTTAGTGTACTTAGTGAGGCTGATGCTGGTGAAATTTTGAGAGGTTGTATAAGCAAAGTCTCTGATTCTTGATGCTTTATAAAAGCTCTTCTTTAGAGCATGATTGGGAGACATGAATTACCTCCTTACTGCAATCCGGCATACATACTTGTGGAAGCAGTAGCTCATGTTTGACACTTTAAAAGCCTTTTAAGGTAAAACGAGCTTGGAGAAAGGCAGATCATTAAACATAGAACTAAAAAACGCCAACTTGACAAAACATTCCTGCTTTTCTTGGCAGTGGTTTTACTTCAGTGATCAAGTTTC